GGGTATCCAGCATAGTTGTTAGACATTGATATAACATATCCTATCCAACAGAGAAGTAGTGATGGGACTATGATGGTACCCACACAAAGAGGAAAAGACTAAGGACCAAGTGCAGAGTCATGCCACTGCAAAGTGAACATGAAGAGGACCCTCGAGATGGATTCAGGAAAGGCAGGTGCACTGGAAAACTGCTTTGAGCACTCGCTGGATGTGGGGCACCCCAAAGAATTCCATAAAGGGAGTCTGTTTTGAGACTACTGGAAAGCCTTTGACTGTGTCGGTCATGAAAACCTATAGGTTTCTCTGGAAGAATCAGGCATGCCTCAGCACTCGATGGTCCTGATGCGTGACCTGTGTTGTAGACAGGAAACCACTATCAGGACACAACACGGAGACACGGGATCATTTCCTATAAGTAGAGGGATCAGACACGGGTGCATTCTACCTGCCTATTTGTTTAGTCTGTACGCAGAATGTATCCTATAAACAACTGGACTAGACTCAGAGGAAGGTGTAAAAATTGGTGGAAGATAGAGAAATATCTTAACATGCAGATGACTCCATCTTACTAGGAGAATATAGCAAAGATTGGACACAATTACTGATGAAATTACAAGAATGCAGTGCAAATGCAAAGTAGCATTTGAACGTAAAGATGACAAAATCATGACTACAGTAGGAATATACAACTTTCACATGGACAATGAAGACACTGAAATGGCTCAAGGTGTCGCTGACTTTGTTTCTGTCAGCAACTCAAATGGAGACTACAGACAAGAAATCAAGAGAAAGCTGAGACTTGGAAGAGTGGCAGTGGAAGGATTAGGAAAGATCACCACAGTAAGGATGTGTCATTAGAGACCAAGGTCAACCGTACACTCGTATCCCCAGCTTACCTGTTCTGATATGAAAGCTGGCCTGTGAATAAGGATGACGGGGAAAAAAATTCATTTCAAATACGTCATTAGAGGAAAGCTCCATAGATACCCAGGATTGACAGACAGACAAACAAGCACGTTCTAGGGCAAATGGAACCTGAAACAGCGATGGAGGCAAAAATGACAAAGCTGAAGTGGTCCTACTTCAGACACGTCATGAGAAGTCAGGGTTCTTTGGAAAAAACAATAATACTGGAAAAAATAGAAAGCAGAAGGAAAAGAGGAAGCTCAAATATGATATGGGTTGACTCTATCAAAGGAGCCACACACACGAGTCTACAAAAGTTGGGCAGGACTGTTGGGGACAAGACACTATGAACAGCACTCATTCACAGAGTCACCAGGCATTGGAGCAAGTCAATGCATATCACACACACATACACACACACACCCCACAACCATCTTGACGTTTTATGTACTGTGTAATGTAATTTTTCAAAAATTAGGTGAAAGTCTTTTTTAAAACGATACAAGGTATGAGGTATATCATAGATCAGATATAGAATAATTCAAAAATGTAAAGACAGAACTCAGGAAAGAAGAAAAACAAAATTTAAAAATCCCTGCAGAAATAAAATATAAACTAGAAGAAACACAGTGACAATCATGCCATATAAGATTTAAAAAATGGGATCACTATTGCGAAAGTAATTCAGCAAGAGGGTATAAAATAGTTGGTTACAAGGATCTAAAGTTGAAGAGAATCAATCAGAAGATATCTGATATCTTAACAATTGGAGTATTCATTCCTTCTGGAAAGAAAAAAATGCTTTGAAATTGTTTATTAAAGAGAACACTGAGCACCCACTTGGAATGACTAACAGCAAGTGATAGCTAGCAAAATACTGCACATGTAAGATAGGAAAAATCGTTTAGGCATCAAGAATCACAGAGCAAATGACTTATAAGGGAAAACATTACAATTCAATCAACCTTTATCAAAAGAAATACTGTGTCAAAAGAAAACAGAGCAACATATTGAAATACTCAATGGAAGAAATAAAGAGTCAGGAACTTGATACCAGCCAAGCTGACTTTCAGGTATAAAAGGCACTGACATCCAAGTCATCGAGAAGATCTTGCGTGACAGTGTCCCACAAGCAACGAAATAAAGAAACCTCAAACAAAAAATCCGCAGAAGGACACTGACATAAGGATGGCTGGTAAGGACTACATTTGTAAAGATTCAATGAAAGTTGTATGAAATAGGGAGTGATCCTGGTATGGTCACTAGGGTGACTGTCTCACCAATGAAAGTTGTATGAAATAGGGAGTGATCCTGGTATGGTCACTAGGGTGACTGTTTCACAGTAATATATTCAGGTCCAACTCTAAGGTATTTTCCTATATCTGTGTTTGATTATATAGAAAAACACTTTTAAAGCAACTAGCAAGTGATAAATGTTATTTAATATGTAAAAAACTTCTATATTAAATACACATGTACCTAGAACTAGCACTAGATCTATACAATACAAAACTAAAGTCCTACTAAGGGCAACACTCCGGGAGAGCAGCAGCAGGGAGGCTCCTGTCCTTGGTCCTCACTGAAGGTCCCTGACGCTGTAGAAGCTCCATCCCCTCGGAGGCCCTGGCTGAGGCCTCCAGGTCATGACCACCACAGGTGTCAACAAGAACCTGCAACACAAACACAGGTGCTGGAATCACTGGGAAGCCACAGAAACAGATGGAGGAGAGATTGTGGAGGTGGGTGTGCAGGACCCAGAAGGCTCCTCAGACCTTAGAAGGTGACCTCGGGACCTCCATCCTGAGGGTTCAGTTTTGAGGAAGAACTCTCGGTTCTCTTCTCTTTGGACACAGTGTTCCTCACCCAGCACACAAAGTCCACAGAACGGATGAGTGATAGAGGCAAATATTCCACATGAAAATGACACTGTATTCTCAGCAAGAGTGTCTGAAGATAAATACTAGACTACTATGGAGAAAGTCACAGGGAATTGATCTCAACTATCCCTGGAGGCTCCTCCTGACTCAGATTCCTCCAGAACTGTTTGTGGCATGGGGCTACACCAGGGGCCACCTGCAAAAGGGAGGAACCCTGCCCAGCACTCAGCTAAGGGGGGAGAGGGGGGAGGAGTCATTCTGAGGCCTTCCTTTAATGGAAAGGCTTTGTGAATGAAGTGGCAGCAGTGCTACATCATGAGCATTCAAAATGCCATGAGACTTACCGAAAGGTTATGTTCTGTACTAAATGAATTTTTATGGCATGGTAACAGATTCTAAAGCATGTTTATCCATTAAGAAGCCAGTGAACATCGTCCTGAGAGGTGATGGGATTTGTGTCCAAGTTAACTGAGGTATATACTTGGCAATAATGAATGCACACATTCAAACTCTACAAGGTCATTAATATATACACTTATGTACCTATCCATTCATGATGTGATGGTGAGGGGCATGTATGTTAGAAAGTTGGCACCAGCAACTGTGGTCTTTACAGTAACAAGAATCAAGGGAAACACTCAAAACACAAAAAAGTCAGAAGCTATGGTACATATATACAATGGAATATTACTCAGCCACAAGAAGAGATAAAATACTGCCATTTGTGACAACATAGATGGACCTCAAAATAATCATGCTCAGCAAAATATGCCCGACAGAAAAAGTTGAAAATCACATATCACTTATATGTGGGATATAAACCTAAAAGCAACAAATGAACAGGACAAACAAAGAGACTCGTGGACATGGGCTATAAGACTAGTGGTTTACCAGAGGGTAGGGGGAGGGGTAGGAGGGGGTAGTTTGACGGGGCAAAGGTAGTTAAATATAAGGGGGTAGAGGGAAAGTGAAGTGGGTAAAGGGGACCAAATATATGGCAGCTGAAGTAAACTGGACTTTGGGTGGTAAACACACAACAGAATATACAGACGTCAAATTATATGTACACCTGAAAATTAAAAAACACAAAAAGTCACACACACACACACACACACAAACAGAATCACACCACATAGATTCACATGCCCACACACTCAGACCCATGCACACAAACCTACATCACCTGGAACTGGAGATCACGGCCACAGTTCTTTACCTAGAAAATCAGTTTCCGTCACCACATCCTCGATTCTCACTGCCAGCAAGAAGCTGGAATCAAAGTGGCTCTCCACAGTAAAACCAGCAAGAATACCACCCCTTTCTCAGTTTCTAGATTTTTCCTCAGCAAATGAAGGATTCTAGAATACGTACTATCTTCAAGGGCAAGTGGAACCAATTGAAATGACAGAAAATACTATGAGGGTCACATCATGCCCGGTCCTGCTTGCACAGGTCTTTGCTTAACTCAGTGACATTAGAAAACCAGATGGGAAACGCTGGAGGTGTCAATGAAACCTACCAGGAAGAACAGGACTCAGGTTGAAGGGCACGAACTTTCCTGGAGGAACTCTGTTCTCAAGGCCATTTTGGATTGGCAATTACAAACTTCTCTACTAAAAAAGAAAAACTGCTAAGATAAAAAAAAAAAAGCTCCCTCTCATACAGTTTGTAAACTGCTGCTATCATTTTTGAAGGCCCTTTAGGATTAGTTATCAGTTGGTACTAGACTCACACTCGACACTCTCGCCACCAAGTAAATGTCTGTATTATCTGGAATGTACATGTCCACTTTTTCATATCTTAATTTTACTGATAAAGTAATAAAGCCATATTTCTCTCACAGAAGAAGAGAGAGCTTACCTTGGTGAAGGATTTCACCTCATCTGCCCTCTCACTGGGAGGCTCTTCTCATAGGTCCTCGGGGGAATCTGTGAGGACACAGAGTGACTGTCAGTCCTTGGTGCTGCTGCTTATGAAGGACTAGGGAGCTCTGCTGAGTGCTGACAGGGGCGAGAGTGTACTGATGAGGGTGGTGGGTAAGTATGAACTGAGCTGCTGCTGGGCCCTCCTCCTTGCTCAAGAAAGAAAGGTCAAGGAGAAGAGCAGAGAAGAAATGGCTTTCTGGAAGGAACCTAATCAGTGGGAAATAATCTAACAAAGAATAAACACAAAATCATACTGTTTCAAAGACAGAGGCCTGATTCTTTCTGCCTATTTTGAGATTCAGCTAAATTGCCAGTGTCTTCTTGATTTCCTCCAAGATCATTTCTTCCTATATAATCCACACATACTATTGCTGTGTTCATCAAAACACTTCTGTAAGTTTTTTACTTAATGAAAAGCAAATTTTTTGGGGACATAACTCACTTTTACACAAACTATCTTATTACATTTATTCACTAATCCTTTTTCATTAAGTGAATAAAATACAGAAGATTTGAAAACAGTGAAATCCCATTATGTAGAGTTGATGCTATCATCTGTGATAATCTCCTCCCTCTCATTTTTTTCTATATAGTGTGTGTGTCATTAAGTCGGTGTGTGTCTACTCTCGCACAGGCCATGGACAGTGGGACAGTTCCTTACGTGGGAGAGGCATGGGGGCACAGTCTCTGTCTATCCTAGATGTGCAGGAGGTTTGCAACAAGGGGGATGGGCACCAGGACGCCCCCAGGTTTACTCTGAGTTCTCACTTGCCACCGCCCCTTGGGTATGTGCTGACAGGTTTCCATGTTTCTGAGGTTTGCTGTAATGCAGTCTCTTTGATTTTTAACTCTGAGACAGAGGCTAAGGGGTGACCTCAGCACTGACAGGTGCTGATCCAGATTGTTCTTCATGGGGCCTCACACCTCTTAGAATCTCTGTGCTGACCTGCAACATGTGGACCTTATATGTGCCTTTCATGCAAACGACTATGCCAAAGTCTGCAGTTAAAGGCACCGACAGCTGCCCTGGTCTATGTGACCAATGAGGACATCTACTCTTGATAGGCAATGTTTGGGAGCTATGTAGACACTAGCACTTCCAGCCGTGTCTACATTTGCTGGAACTCCCTCCCTCTGTGACTAATGACCCCATGGCTGAATGGTGAGTGCCGGTCAATGGTCCAGAGCATCAACATAGGGACCCATGCCTGGGTTCACATGTTGTCTCCTCCACGTAGGAGGTCAAGAGCTTGAGCCATTCATCTCAGCTCTGCCTCTATATGAGGAGATGAAATAGTAACAAAGCTCCAGATACAGCCATGGAGGGAAGAATGACTTATGTAGTCTGTGAAGATGAGAATCTTTTTAGAAAGTGAACCAGGGGAATATGTTGTGTAACTCGGTAAAAGCCTGAGGAAACACACCACGCACACATACTTGCATTCACAATCAGAGCACACACACTCACCAAAAACACTCTCAAACTTCAAGCACACAAACCCCACCACCTAAAAGTCATCACGGCTGCTGGCCACAGTAGAACTGGCCAGAATTCTTTCCTGCACCACACTCCCTTCCACTACAATCCAACTTTCATTCTCGTCAGGAACACAGATCGCGGGGCCTTCTAGACCAAATGGGCAGGAAAGCCCCACTGTGGTCAGCACCCAGATTTAGCCTCAGCAACGGACTGAATCCTGAATACATACCTTTTTCATCTTCTGCATCTACCTGCAATTAGAGAGAGAGGAAAACAATAACAAAAAAAAAAAAAAAACACTGTTAGGAAAACATCATCCTGGACAGGGCTTGCACAGGGCTTCTGTTCTCTTGATGTCTTTAGGACAGCAGACTGGAAACCTGAGTTAATGACCCCAAGAGAAAACATACAGAACACCTGTGAGAAAGTTTGATTCTTCATGGAAGGTCTCCGAGTATACTTGGATTGGCAAATGCAAAACTCTTTTTCAAGGAGGAAAATTCTATGCAGAGGAAAATGCTCCCTACTCTACAGTTTATGACTAATGCTGTCCTTTTGAATGCCCTCTTGAAGCAGGAAAAATTACATAAAAAGCTCACACTCGACAATCTCCCCACCAACTAAATTGTCTACCATCTGGAGTGTACATGTGTACATCTTCATGATTTAATTGTGCTAAAACAAAATAAATCAACATTTCCATCGCAAAGGAAGATAGCAGAGCTTACATGTGGAATAGATGGGTCCTTCTCAGAGGCCTTGTCTCCAGAAGGCTCCTCCACCACGACATCAGGGGCGGCTAGGGAAACACAGAGCAAGTGTCAGTCATTGCTGATGCTGCCCAGGATTTACTCAGGCAGCTGGGCCTGATGTGCACTTTGGACGGAGAGTGTGGAGTGGGTGATTGCTAACTACAAACTGCAATGATCAGCAAAGGCCGTCTTCCTGGGTGGATGAAGGAAGGCACAAAAATGGAACAGGAAAAAAGGAAAAAGCTCTCGGTTTTCTAGCTAAGGGTTAACTAATTCATGTAAAATGGTCAATCTGACAAAGAGTAAACACTAAAATGCATGGTATGATTCAAAGACAGTCATATGACTTTTCTATGCTTTTGAGATTCAGCTAAATTGCCACTGTTTTCGTGATTTCCTCCAAGATCATTTTTTCCTCATAATCCATACCTGCTATTGCTGTGTTCATCAAAAACACTTCTGTAAGGTATTTAACTTAATGCAAATCAAACTTATTGGAGACATAACTCACTTCTACACAAACTATCCCATTTATTTATTCACTAATCCTTTTTTATGAAGTGAATAAAATACAGATTTGAAAAGAGTGAAATCTCATTATGTAGAATTGATGTCATCATCTGTGATAACAACTTCTCTGTCATTTTGTTTCTACACAGTGTGTGCGTGCCATTGAGTCACTGTGTGTCCTCTCTCAAATAGGCAACAGACAGTGGGACAGTTCCTTACGTGGGAATGGCATGGAGGGCACACCTATTTGAGCTCTTCATGGAAGCTGTCTCAAGTCCCTTTGAATTGGCAATTACAAAATTCTTTTTTCAAGGAGGAAATGGTGCTGCTGAGGACGCTGCTCGCAGCACTCCAGTGTGAAAGTAATGCTGTCCTTTTTGAATGCTCTCTTGAATCAGCTTTCAGGTGGTCATAGACTCTCACTCAAAATTCTCCCATCTAGTAGATTGTCTCTATCATCTAGCAGGTATGTGCTCACATTTTTAGACTCTAATTTTATAGAAAAATAAAGCAACATTTCCATTTCAAAGGGTGGAAGGCCTTCTTACCTTAGAAGCAGATGGGACCTCCTCAAAGGACCTCACTCTAAGAAGCTGCTCCACCGTGGCGTGAGTGGGAGCTAAGGGGACACAAAGTCACTGTCAGTTATTGATGGTGCTGCTCAGGACTGTCTGAGAGAGCTCTGCTTGAGGTGGTTGTGGGGCTGGAGAATGTGGATGTGGATGATAAACACTATGGTTTGAGCTTCCACTGGGATAACCTCATAGTGGATAAAGAAAAGCCAAGGAAAGAAGCAGGCAAGAAAGAGAGATAGAGCCTTTGGCGGTCTAGTTAAAGGGAATCTAATCCATTTAAAATCATCTAAAATGCATGCTATGTTTCAATGACAGTTTCTGATTCCTCCTGTCCTTTTTAAAGCCCAGCCAAATACTCACTTTTTCTTCAAATGTTAGAACCATTTCAGCATCCATGCATTCATACATGTTGCTAGTGTCTTCAGCAAGTATAATATTGGATATTTTGCTTTTATTGTGATGAACTTTACATCATACTTATGCTGCTTTTAATCATTTGTGATTATATCGGTCAGTAGCATTGATTACATTCACAGTGCTGACCCATCCCTGCTGTCTAGACTCAAAACATTTCTCAGGAATAAATCACTCTGCCTTGACCCTCCTTCTACCGTTGTAATCTCTACTTTTCTGTCTCTAGATATTGGTCCTTTCCAGAAATCTCATATAAATGGAATCATAAATTATTGTACAGGCCTGATGTCACTAAGCTCAGTATTTTTTCAGGGTCTATTCATGTTGTAGCCTATTTTAACATCTAATTTACTTTTATGGCTGAATAGCATCCCACTATGTGCACACATTGCATTTGATCGACTCATCATTTGGTAAATTTTGGGGCTCTTTCCACCATCTGGCTATTGTGAATAATGCCTTTATTAACCATGTTTCTGTGGGAGAGAGGTGATACCCTGGAGGAGGAGGCTGAGCCACAAAGAATCCAAATCTATCATGCAGTCCCCAGCTCCTATCTTTCAGTCTCTGACTCCACATACGACACTTCCCTCCAATCACAGCCCCTCAGAGGACTAGGGATGTCCAATTTGTGGCCATCCTTCCCCAGCATCTGTCCACTCCAGCTGTCTAACTCTGAGGCTTCTCCATAACAAGGGACCACTCTGAGTCACCAGTGGTCTGGGTGACTCCCAAGCCAACTCAGAACATTCTGGACCAACTGGCTGCCACATGACATTTGAAAACTTAGCTTCCCTTTCATGACCAACCCTGGATGTGGAGTTGATGTCCACGAGCCAAGAATGTGGTACCTTAGTGATTCAATGAATTAAGGCTGAAAGCTCCACTGTTTGCTGACTATTGATCTGAGCAACCATCTGAGCAGCCTGCGCCAAGGCCTGGCTGAGAGCAGACTCTGGCTGCTCTGGCTCTGAATGTGCACCTTCCCTGCCCAAGTCCTTCTTCAACAAAATTCAGTCTCTTCTACTGCCTCCTCCAACCCTACACTGTGCAGTGGCAGTGGACTGAGTCTCATTTCCTCTGAGAGGAATCTCTCCTTAGTGACAGCCTGTGACCCCACACCAGGACACTCGCAAAGAACCACCAAGACCCTCCTAACCTCCGTCACCAAATGTTCATTCCTCTTACCCAAAGGCACCGTCCCTTCTTACCACTCTCCAAGGCAGCACCCAAATACCCAGGAATTCTGTCCACATCAAACCATGGAAATCTCACTGTGAATTTCTGGTTTCTTCTCTTTGTAAAACCTCTTGATTTAGAATGCTAATGTTTGGTGTCAAATTTTGGCATTCACATTCAGAAGAGTTGATCTGTAATCCCCCTTTCCTGTCATGTCTATGGTTGGGGTGGTATCAAGATTCTCCCTACCCAGGGAGAACAGTGTGGATGTGTTCCCTCTGTATCTGTTCACTGGAAAGTGTATACAAAGTTGGCACTAGGAAATAATACATTTTTCTAAATTTAGAAAAATATTTAAGGCAGCCTGCTTGTTAGAAGAATCAGAAATATCAATAAAGTAATACGACAAAATTCAAAACATTTATAACTCTCTAGACAAATCCAGAATGGTAGAAATAATTTTTAAAAGATGAGGAATAATTTTCAGAAAAAGCTAAGCAGCCCATTTGAAAGAACAGCATTCAGATCAATAGAAACATACCTGTACAACAGTTCCGATTTCCTATCTTTAGGACTTGAGGTGTGGAAGCTAATAATCTATCTGTTCTCTCTCTGCTCATAGAGAGACAGCTGAAATGAAAGGAAAGATGGACATCATCACACAACCATAGTGCTGGGCCATCAAAAAACTTTCAGGGTGAACACACACTGCTGCTCTGTAGACAGGTGTGTGTTTACATGGACTGTGTGGCATCTAAGGGTACATGTTTTGTTTCAAAAACTGAATCCCAGACCCTCATATTATTATTTTGTTTATGAAAACAAGTTATGAGAGAAAATTTCCTGGCCCCAAAATACAGTTGATAGTGAAAATTTCAGAGTGAAGAGGGACAAAGCTAACATGTTGAGAATAAAAAGTGCATCCATTCTTGATTGAAATACCATCTTCACACATTTCTACTATTTCCAAGTCACCAGACATTTCTAGGACAATGTAAAATACATTCCAGATGAAATAAAAAATAATAATAGGAATTCAATTTTAAAGTTATGTTTCTCTATTAAGCATATAATTACATATGTATATTTAATACCAAATTATACAAACACTGCATGACTAGGATTCGAAGCCTGTCACTATGCTTTACTGCCTCTTTCTACTTTTAAAGGACTCCATGAATATTAGCATGGACTTACTGACCTACCATGAAACATCTCTAAGAGAAGTCACTGTCTCAGGTTCCTGATCCTATTTAAACAGAAGCTTTCTCCTTCCTCCTTTCAGGTGGATGCTTACTGCATGCCCCACATTCTACCACTTCCCAGGACAGGTTTCTACAGAGTCTACCAGCCTGATGATACTTTGCCTCCCTGATGCCTCAATTTAGCATCCTGCCATTACTATTATTTCCCTTTCTGGCATCTATCACAACTTTGAATTATATAATTTTCTGTGTGACTGTTAAATACCTGTCTTCCTAACTAGACTGTAAGTTATGTGAGGGCAGGGGAGTGATTGGCACTTCATACTTTTTGAATAAATACACTCCCCTTTGGGATTTCGTGAGCTTGAATATAACCATCTAGTCTTGACAGAATACTTTTCCATCTCTTTTTCGCATCGCACATCCATTATGAAGGAGATATCAACCCAACTACAAATTAAGTCTTAACAATGAGGTGAGGCGGTACAGGAGGCGGTACAAAAGAGGGATTCTGAATTATACCTGGGTCAAATTCTAGTATTCGGGCCAAATCCTTCATTAAGCTGAATTTCCTCATTAACCAGCAATCATTATTCATTGCACATAATATGCTACTCTCCTGGACTCTGGGACGGAGCAGAGCAGTAACAACACGTGATAAAACGAGAGGGATGGGGGATGAAAAAGAGAACTAGAGTAGGGAATGTGTATTCTGAGTAGGGAATGTGTATTCTTAATTTTAGAAAAGGATGTCCAGTAAGGCTCCTAGAGAAGGAGGCATTTATAAAATGGAAATACAGTGTCTTATTTCTCAGGCTTATGGAAATGATTAATATGAAGACCCGCAGATTTTTAAACAATCTTCCATAGGTCCACTTTGGACCTGGACCTAAGAGATCTCTAAGGAAGAGACCTGGCATCCAAACAGAAGAGGAACGCTCGGCGCCACAGAACAGGGAGAGCTGTCCACGGTCCCGCCAGGAGCAGCGATCCCGCGCGAAGCTGCGCTCGGCGGAAACGCTGGTCAGGGTAAAACGCTGACACTGGTGGAATCGTGACGAAGGCGGCACTCAGGCGAGCCGCATAGTTACCGTGGCAAGGACGAGCGCCTCGGAAGAGGATGCACCCATACAGACTGTTGGGCGGCTGAAGACAAGGTGTGGCCTCCAACGGTAACAGAGCTGTGGCTTCTGGGAGAGACAGTGGCGGGACTTCCGGCGGAGACAGGGGTGTGGCTTCTGGCGGAGGCGGAGGTGGGACTTCCGGAGGAGGCGAAAGGTGGGGCTTTTGGCGGAAGGGATCTCTCCGCGGCCAAGAGACCTGGAAGATGCTACGGGCATTGTGGTGGTGGTTATGTTTCGGGTTGTGCAGTCATCTAGTAGGGCAGGCAGAGGCCCCGAGTCCGGTGGAGTCATCGGAACGGAGCCGACCGTATGCGGTGCTGCGTGGGCAGAACCTGGGTGAGAGACTGCGGCCTAATGGGCGGCAAGGTCAGGCCTGCGCTTTCGCCTCTTGGGGCACCGGAACCTGGCAGAGGCGAACAGAGGGCGAAGAATGAGTGAGGGCTGGGGCTACCCATGTTACCTCTTCTCCGAAGGCCTGAGTTTTACCGCTCAGTACAAGGCCTGGTACACAGTAAGCTTTCAGTATGTTTAGTTGCATGAATAACCTCCGAGTCCGGAGACCTGGGTCTCATTCTGGGCCCCCTCCTCTCCGGTTGTGTGGGCCCAGGCTAGCAACAAGGAGCATACAATATACCCTACCCCCTCTTCTTTCCTAATGGGGACAATAGTCATAGTAATAACGGTAATTGACATTTGTTTCGCAATTCCTGTATACCGTGTGTTGTGCTAAGCATTTTGCATACGTGATTTCATTTAAGCCTCACAGTAAATAAGGGTGTGGTTTTCAGCCCTACTTTATAGCTTTTTTAAAAAGTCAGAGTGGCGAAATTTTTTCCCCGAGGTTACACAGCTAGAACCTAGGTTTTGTTTGGGAGCAACTCTTCAACATACACATACACACACATGCATACATATGGATGTACATGGCTATGGAGGGAACCCTGGAGAGTAAACCTTGGCAGACTTCGAAATAACTGCCTCTTCTTTAGCCAAAGCCCTCCCTTTCCACTGCACCTCATTAGTACATCTGTATATCTACAAAGTTGCTGCATAATATCTTTTCTGGATTATTTTTTGACTCTACACGAACTCATTGTCTATTGACCACTTACTGTGTACCTAGCACTCTGTTGAGTGGTTTCCATACATTATCTTCCTTTATCCTTTGGAACTTGAGTTTTTCAACCTGGTTACTACTGGCAGATTAGACAAGACTATTATTCATTGTTGGGCTGGGGAGAATGAAGACACTATCCTGAGCAATGTAATATCTTTAGCAGCATCCCCAGCCTTTACCCACTAGATGTCAGTAGCATATCCCATTCCCAGTCCAAGTGATTGAAATATCTCCAGACATTGTGCATGTCCACTGGGGTTAAAATAGCCCTGAGTGAGAACCACTGCTGTCGGACAGTACTATTCAGAGGGTGATCTGCATACCAGTGGGGTCTGCAAACTACTTGTCCTTTGCAAAGAGATGACTACATAAGTTAAGTGTGTAGAAACTTAACATGTTGACATTGTTGCAACATCCAAGCAAGTAGAGGCCAGTTCTAGGTCCCTGAACTAAAATGATTTGCAGGTACTGGGAATTGCTTATTAGTCATGCACAGTAGGGCTATGTAATGGCCTGGGACAGATTAAAAGTTACAAAAACTAGTCTTTCACCACAGGTCATTTGAGAAACACTGCCCTAGACAATCTTGTGCAGTGGGTATTTTTATCTCCGTTTTTACAGAAGAGGAAACAGACACAGGTTATATAACTTACGTAAGATCACAAAGCCTGTAAACGTAGATGAGAACCCAGACAGTCTGACCCCAACCCTGAATTCTTGACCACTGTGCTGTGCTGCCTGTCTTGGTCATAATAACTGCTTTTATTTATTGTGTGCTTATTATATGTCCAGCACTGTATTAAATGCTTTTCATAGGTTACCATAGGCTTAAAGAAACCCTTGTGAGATGAGTTTCATTTTCCCCATTTTATAGATGTAGAAAATGAAGCTCAGCCATGGGAAGTGACCATAGGGAAGGAACTAAATAGTCCTAAGGTTCTGCAGGAACCTGCCATTCAGGCAACTAATAGTACATGCAAAATGTGGGACAGGTAAAGATGGGAGAATTGATCAAGCCCTACCCAAATGAATAGCTATCCAAATGGATAGTGAGTACCTAACAACTCATGGTTTCAAACTCACTCCTTTTTTCTTTTAAGATTTCTATTCTCCAATTC